TGGAACCTCCAGTGAGGGTTTCTCCCATTACTTGCAAGCCAGCATGAGGGCTGGGGGCAGCCCTTCGTTGGATGAGTCACTGATACCCACAGACCCTCCCCAGTCCTCCAGCCTGTCCCATCAGCACCACAAGATGACTACACCCGACTAAACGGGGTGAGGGGACTCGCATGGACCCTTTCCCGGGGATGGTCTGGGGCTGCTGCAGGCGGATGGGGCCGGGGCCAGGGGGGCCCCGGCCTGCCAGCAGGGACACTGCTGCAGGGGCCTGTCCCCAAGCGAGATACGCCACCGCCATCTATCGGCAAGCACCTGGGGGACAGGGAGCGACAGGTACCCTTCTGTCCCCGCCACCGCACGCCGCAGGGGCTCTGCGTCTGGTCTTGGCGCGGTTTGGGGGTGCCCGAGCGAGGCTTGGAGGGCTGCGGAGCAGCCGGGCAGGGTTGCCCCCTCCCCGCGCTGGCATCGCGTCCCTGGCGCTGGGGACAGCAGTGGGACACGCTGGGCATCAAGAAGGCCGGGCTGGTTGGCTCTGGGCAGTCCGGTGTCTCCCCACGGCTGGGCTCTGTGGCAGCTGGGATCTCCCGATGCACGGTGGGCAGCGTCGCTGGGTCTTGTGCACGCAGCAAAAGGAAACCCCCCATGCGTGTTCCCACTTCAGTGGGAGAGTTGGGGAGAGGGCTAGTGTCCTCTCCCGGCCTCTAGCCACCGTGCAGGTCCCTTTCTAGTGACCAATGTCTTGCTCTCTGTGATCTTTTAGCTGAGGACTAGCATCCAGCACGTCTTTGTGAGAGACTCGGCAGGTTTTTAGTTTTGATTATCTTCTCCGTCCCAAAGTGGAGCAATTCACCCAATGCCGGGAGCACACCACACCCACCCCCAAAATCCTGATGTCCTACACTGCCCACAGCCTCCACCTACTGTGTTCCCGCACCCCCCTGCAAGTCCTTGCCCAAGGACATTTGTGATGGTTGTGGCGTCTGGTGCTTGGTGCCTGTTACAGATGCGTCCTCGCCAGAGGGAGCTGTGTCCCCGGTG